TCGGCGGAAATGGAGTTCAATGAAATTCTATGATTAGCCACTTGTACAATCGTCAGACAAGACCATATTTGTAGTTTGGTCGTTTCTGGTCATTTAGGTCCGCTTATTCTTGTTGATTTTTTGCTCTGTCTGTGCTGGCCGACTTCAGTGGTGGATTTGTGATTTCTGTTTACACGGGTTCCTTTTATAAGTGTAATGACGATCGGGAGAAATTTAAACAAATCTGACAGACAAGAACCGCGAGGATATACAGACCGCTCGAAACCGATCAACCTATAGGTATATCAATCCTCAGGACCCAAGAGAATAATTCACAAGACGGTATTATTATGTAGAAAGCGCTTCCAACGTGAAATTTTTATAATTAAAAAAACCAAAAAAAAAAAAAAAACCGACGGATCTACAGATAAAATTTGGTAAGTAATCGCCTGAATCTGCTGATCCACGACGGTCCGCCAAGCTGTCCACAACTAGTCCAGCCCAAAAAATTTTACAACTCTTTATAAAAGTAAAAAAAAAACATAGTTGCATTTGTAGGCTCACATTGCCTTCATGGCCGAATGTTTAACGAAAGTTAAACAAATACTTTGTTGATGACACAGGAGGGGAAAAAATGGAATATAAACTTGACAAAAGTCACAGAATCAGGGTTGCCGAGGCGGGGGCATGAAGTTGTAAATCTTGGACATCCAACTTTCTGACTGCTTACGTGGGCTCGATCTTTTGTTTGGAAAATGATGCATCGCCGTATAAAAAGACGCCGTGGAAAGTTAGGGGTCTTTGCCTTTCCAATTCCGCTTGAATTTAAGCTCTTTTACCTGTTTGGACATCTTTTTTTGTGTTATTACCTTTTCAATTGTCCATGCTTTTTAAATTAATTTTCCCAACCATTACTGTTTTCTGTTGTTGCACAAAAATTGACTTGAAAACATATTTGAATAATTTGATTAAGTTTATAATAGATCGGTTTTTATATCAGCCATTTTCACCTCTTTATTACAGAAAGTTTAGGAAAGATACTAATTTTTTATCCTATACTAAGTTTCGGCATTAAGATTTACCTTAGACATAAAATGTGTTGTACAAAATCCAATAAATTTTTTTCTCAAATAAACGTAAACCTAAATCATCGGCAAGTGTAACCTTCTGCCGGAAAAGTTTCGGCAATCATTTCTTTTACTCATTCATATTTTTTATTTAGAACAACATATACAAAATAACGCCATAAAAATTAAATTTACGTTATATACTATGTTATGATGTACTACTGATTTATATTTGTAGCCGCAAATCTTGCAGTGACCTCGAAACGAGGTTTCCCGGCGACCCCTCACGCAAACTATACACGAACATCTCGAAGGAAAATTGATTCAGAAGACTAATTGAACATCAATTGAAAATCCTGGTAATGACTGATTTCCTGGAATCGGCTTGTATACCTTAGAGGACAGGCATAATTTCAATAGACCGTCTGTGGACAGAGGCATTCCTTGAATAGAATGTCCATCGCTAATGGCGAACATTGTGCTATTTTCATCACAATTTAGAAATTAGGAAAATTTTATAATTTGATGATTGATAATGTTTTCACATGATGTCCAATGTTTTTTAGATATTTGCTAGGCAATTACCTTTAAATGTTTGATTTATGTGGTGTATCAATGTAAAAATGTCACGGACTTGCAAGTTGAAAGAAAGCGAAAAACGGAAAGGCTAATCAAAAAATGCGCGAGAAAACGAAGAGGGGGAAAAAACCAATCACACAACCCGCTGGCTGATAAATTAATCATATACGATTAACTTTTCGGCCGGTCTCATTTGTAGCGCACCTCCTGAATTTTCCGGTCGTGTCGAAAACTTGATGGCCTAGGGGCTACACGTGCTGTAATTAAAAACTGAACCACCCCACGTGTACATTGTCACGTGGTGTTGGGATTTATTTACGGCCAGGGCGAAGTATCGCTTTTCGGTGTATTTTCCTGCTTTTGTTGCCCATCGAAAGGGATGTAACAACACACCAACTTGCTGAAAATCAACTTTTTTTTTGTTCTCTACAACAAACTTTTCTTTATACCCTTTACAATCTTTTCTAGATAATTACTAAAAATTGATCATTTTGTACTTTAAACAAGACATGTCATTTTGCAACAATTAAGACCGTAAAAAATCCTTTGAACTCAACTTGAAATAAACTTTCGACAGAAAAGCAAATTGTTTAAGTAGAAAAATCTTAGTTGATCCAATAATTGAATAAGATAATTTTAACTTACTGTTCGATATACACATTTTCAGATTATTGAATACCGGGCAAACGGCTGAATTTAGAGGCATAGCCTCATTAAAAATTAGCCGGTATGACAAGCCAAAATTATCCCTTACGGCGAACAAACTGCGTTAAGATTTGCAAGTCAGATCGAAGCAACCAGTTTGCATGACTTAACATTCAGACGGATCTGCTTGGGATCTCCCAGAATCAGATATGTTCTGATTTGCATAGCGTGAACCGCTTGGTGCGAACCTTCTGACATCTTCAGTGGTTAAGTTTCATCCTGTGAGACGGCGAATTGATGATTTACAGAAAAATGCCTTTACTTATTATTATTTCCTAGAAGGACACATACGTTAATTCGGTAAATAAAAGAGCGTGCATAACCCTCACAAACCTGGAAATGTCTGTCGGACAAATATGGTTAGCAGTATAAATTAGTGGAATGTAGGACTCTTTTAAGCTTAAATAACAGCAACAAACTTAAATATTAAAAAGTAATTTAGTAAATGAAAAGCATTCAATGCGGGTAAAATAAAAGCAATTCAAGTAGAAATTTAAAGGAGTGGAAATTGACAAATTCAAATTACCTTTAAAAAGACTTTTTCTCTCATGAGTTTTCTAATGAAATTACCCCCGAATTAATAATCTAGTTTGTATTAATTTCGCTCCGGTAAAGCGCTCTGGTGGAAACGCTTTTGTGGTTTGTTTTCCGTAAAGACTAGCGATGCGTGGCGGCGCCCTCGGTTTGTGCTTTGTCCTTCCGGTTTCAGGAGTTTTTAATTATTCGCCCCGGTCGGCTCATCGGCCCGATCCCGGTTTCTCATCAAGGCTATTGTTGCATACTCGATTTAATGCGGCAGCAATTAAAGGGGCGAGGGTGTTATAATTGGTTTCGGCCAGGTTCATCTCTGGGATGAGTCTCCTTCCGAAAACCAATTCTCTTCTAAAAGGGCTCTCAAGTAGCAATTAAAGGATTAATGGGATTTACAAAAATGTTCTTTTTATAACAACATCCGTCGGATTATTTCTTGATGTCAAAGAAAGACGTCTTTCGTTCTGTAAGCAAACTTATTTTTCATGGACATACAAATGTACATGATTTTTAAACGCTTATGTCGATTATAAAAACTATTACATTTTCAGACAAAATGAAGATTGAAAAAAGAGAAGATTGAACACTGTAACTTCATGTTTTGTTAATCTATTGAGAGAAAATAACATATTTGAGTGCAGCTAGGGAAAGCGCAAAAAGATTTAACAGAAAGATATATAATTAATTACGTAGTTCATTTAGAAACAAATTTAACAAACTGATCTATATGAAGCATAAAACATGTTTGGATAGTGGATATTTCTCCATCACCCTTTACATCTATTATATCACAACCCTAGTTGAGGGCCAATGGAATATTGAATATTCCGTCATAGGTCCTTTCACATTACACATTCACTCTCAGTACATGCTAGGAACAACCGTTTTGCTCCAAAAATCGGTAGAAGAACAGTTACTCGCTGCGGTGTACAAGCACAATTCTCATAATGGGTGGCATTCCTACGCGCTCTCTGTAGGAGACAAGGAATTGTATCCTTCAATTAGATGGAACACATCCAGCAACCTTCTCTGCATGCCGGACACGTACGCAGCCTATTCTTAATCTGGTGAGGATGACCCTTCTTCTACGAGTCAGGGCGTCCGAGGGCTATCGACATGCTCTTGATACGCGAGAGCTTCTCTGCCAGTTTCTTTTAATCATGTTTTTTATTGCATTTTTAGGATCAGGAGGCCGGGTCGCGGTGGTAAGCCCTGTGATTGGGACTTTCGGCGTTAGCCATCTTTTCGTTACTCTCCAGAACTAGCCGGGTACCCAGACAACAATCACTGTTTTGCTGATGCGCTCCAGTTCGTGGTATATCTCCAACAAGACCATAACGAAAGTTTGACGGAAGACCTGTCACGGACAGCAGTAACGTCTCTGAGGGAGAAAGTGCAGACCAGGTGAACAGTGCCACCATCATATCTAATCATCTCAAGCGAATGTCAAACCTCAAGTAATTCCGCTGTTAAACGCTATAGTGCGGTGGGATTGACCATGATGTGGACGCACCCTCGCAATGCACGGCGCACGCCACCGCACCCTCCTCGTATGTAAAGGCGAGGCGAAAATCGGTGATCGTCCTGGACAAATACGGCCTATATGTCATTACATTAGATGTCCTGTTGAATGATATAACAGCCAAATAATTTTTTGGTAAAAGAATTAGATTAGAAAGGCCATTTCAATAATTCTTCTATCAAATTCTTATCTAATTCCTTATACATTTAGTACACATACGTATACATACAGTTTGCCCCACAAGCTACTACAAGTATTGATTGTCCTTCCATTATTATCAGTCAACTTTATCCCCCTTTGGTGAACTAAGTCTTCCAATTAGACTTTTGAGTTGTTTTTGTCAAGAAAATTTTGTTTTCGTTCTTGGATTTATATTTAAATTTTAAATTTGCTAATGAAATCTATTATAATATGATTATAATATGGTAACATGATAATTACCGACGGATTATAGGAAAGTCTTTTGTGCTTATACTATTTTTTATCGATTATACAAAATAAGGCTTCTTGTTTCTGATTACATAATATCATCCCTCATAATTTAATTGACGGAACAAAATTTTGCATGAATCGTTGTTAAAATACTCGTTGGTTTAAAACGGTTTGAACAAATTTACCTTGATCGCAGGCAGGTCCTGTCCAGCCGGTGTGGCAGGCGCATGTTCCATCGATGCAAGTTCCATGTGCAGAACAATCTCCATGGCAGTCCGATTCCGGGATGTCGCATTCCGGCCCTTTCCAACCCTCTTCGCAATGACACACACCTCCTCCGTATTTACCGTGATTAGAGCACAACACAGGGCAGACACCTTGAAAACAAGTGAAACATTTTTTTACAAAACAAAACGGCGGTTATAAATATTAAAAAAGAAGATAATGTGGATTTCGCCTCTACAATGAATATCTACAACTCCACATCTCGATTAATTCTTTCTAATATTAATTGATTTTGTAAAAATATTTCTTGAAATTATTTTGTAATTTCATTTCATCTTTAAACAAATATTGGTCGATTCAAAACAGAACCATTTGATTCAATGATTTTTGATCCTACACATGAATTATAGCCGCGTATTGCTTTACTATTAATTAAGCGATTAGTATTGAGTCAATTTGCTAGTCAGTATTTTATGAAATACCATTAATCATAACTCAATAAAAATTAGTAACGTGTATTACTGCGCTTAATATTTGCTCACTATCTTAGAGATTTTCTTGTCAGTTCGTCCTTTTTGTAGCTGTTAGTTTTGTTATTTTTTGTAGTTGTTTTATATTTGCTCTGTCCAAATTGTTTTTCTTTCCTTTTTAAAAAAGTCGTTTAAAAGAAGTCTCGTTATTAAAACGGAGAAGTAACTTAAGTCGAACGTCGAGCCGACCGTATAAAGCCGAAGATCGTGGGTTCGAATCCCGCTCGTGCCATTGACTTTTTTATCTCAACTAAAAACCTTAATTAATTGTAATATATTGGTAATAATTGGTCAAGCGGACCACGAAATTATTGAATTTAAAGATTTAAAATGAATTATTCTTCACTAAAGCTCTCCGTGGCCATTTCATTTGTCGTCGAGAATCCAATCCGATTACACGACATTTGAAAAATGGCAAAAAGGAGGGAAAATTCAAAAGTTGAGGTTGAGATGAGAAGTTGGTGTCCGAGTGGATCGTAGTCACCATAGCTCAAGTGGTAGAGCAGCGGCGTATAAAGCGGAAGATCGTGAGTTCGAATCCCCCTCGTGCCACTGACTATTTTTATCTCAACTAAAAACCTTTATTAATTGTAATATATTAATTGGTCAAGCCGACCACGAGTTAGTGAAATTAAAATCACATTTATTGACTGAATTTGGAGACAGGCAGGGTCCAGCTAGTATATTGGTTGACCCGTTGAAATTAAATGTAAAATCCCCTTTGCGAACAAAATGAAATTAAGGAAAGGTTTGATTTATTACGAGCTAAAATACAGCTGGAAGACGGTACAGACAACGAAAAATTATATTTGATAAGGTTTCAGGAGCAAGTAGTGGCCACCAATTTGATAAGTAGTCTTGGAGACCCTTTAAGAAATGACCTAGCTACTAGGAATCCTAAAACCTTGTCAGACATTGAAAAGTTAATGTTAAACGACTTCCAGTATATGCAGAGAATAGACCAACAACCGTTCCCACATCATAGACAAAACACAAATCAAAAGCAAAATTTCAAACCACATGAATTTACACAAAGACCCATGCAAATCAACAAACCATCACAAATTAAACAAAATTTCACTCCATTTTCACAAAGAAACCAAGAAACACCCACGAGCATCTAAACAAGAAACTCTTTTCAAAAACCACGAGTTTTCAAGATGGATGCTAGGGAACAACCACCCGAAAATTCGGTAGATGAATCCCATAACCTAACCAAATCAGAAGAGGGTAATTTTTTAGGAGTTACCAAAATACAAGACAACTTCAGATAATGAATTTACAATCAATGGGGAACGAGTTGCCATATTTTGTAGATCCTGCAACAAATGCACGAATACTGATCGACACGGGCAGTACCCGTTATATATTATATATACATACATTTTTGCTATTCTTTTACATCTTGCTTATATATGTATATATTTTTTATCTATATTTGTTATGTATTTCTTTTCATTTTTTTAACTTTCTGTGTTTATTTAAATATGTATATACGCAAAGACCAAAAAAAACCGCACACTCATATTTTGTTGGTTATTTTTAATTACATGTTATTATTGTTAAATTGATTTATTGTTTATTAATTATAATTAAGAATGAATTTAACTAACAATGTTTGTCTATCACTAATTGATTTTTCGGTGTTTTGGTGAATTTTATTTCAAACTATCATTATTAATTTTTTAAATGAAAATTCATGGATTTCTGATTTTGTTTAATTAGCTTACATTAACATAAGTATGTTGTAATTAATATAACGATAAAAATACATGTAGTTTGAAATAAACAACAAAATACGTCTGGGGTCCGTTTTTTTGTCTTTGAGTGTACAAAAAAGGGAATTTTTTAGTTTAAAAATGTAATCATTAATAAGGAAATAGCTTTATTTGTTGAATCCATGTTTTTGTCATCTAAGCAATTGTTTCTATGAGAATTTAAAAAAAATTTCTATACTGTTTACGTCAAATAAGAAGAGTAATTGAACTGAAATGACAACCATTCCAAATAAGTATTGTAATAAAAGAAAATATTTACGGAGCAATGTATATTCAAAAATAAAGTTTTTAAATCTTAAGTTGGATGAAACAGAGGGATTCGGTTAGGTTTGGATATCGGTTTAATGAGGTTTAAATAGTTTGGATTTTGTTATTTTCCTTATCTGTATGTGTTCGTGTTTGTAGATTTTCAATTTTTCTATAATTTCTCATTGTTTTTATCGACAAGTTTCAAAATTTTTTCTTAAAAAGTTTCGTTTAAAAGTATTTTGTGCAAAATAATTTTCGTGATGAAATCAGCCATACCTTTTTGTATTTTATATCTGTTTTAGCCTTCAATCGATCTATGTGGAATATATGACCTCATTCTCAGGTTATTTTATACGCAAAGTTTCTATCGAGAGAAACTCTTTCCGAGTAGCTGGGTTCGTTTTTTAAATGGGGTTTTCATACTTTATTCACTTTCATACTTTTATTTTTTTGTTATATGTTAGCAACTTTACAATTCATATTTATGCATTGTTTGTGAATTGAATTTGGATTTAGACGTTGTTTTAATACTATCCTTAGATCTGTTTTGAATCGAATTTGAAGTACTAACAAAGAAAGATCGTTTGACAGCTATTGCGTTTATTCTTAAAGTTGATTTTACTCTCATAATTATATCTGACGTTATTATGCGAGACTTACTTTTTGAACAATCGACACCTTCAAATCCGTCGATGCAATCGCATTTACCGACGTAACAGGAACCGTGGCCGGAGCAGTCGTTGGGGCACGCCGTTGATATTCCTTCCGCTTCTTCGACGACCAGGACGACTTCGTGGGGCCTCAGGTCGTCGTTGTAGACCGAGAGAAACCACCTCCCGGCGTCGAGGTATTGTAGGAGGGTGACGTTGACGAGCATCGCTGCAGCCGATCTCTTGTTGACTAGATGTTTCGGCGAGTCGAAGTCGTAGGTTTTAGACCCTGTTCTTTTAGATGGCAGCGTTGCCGGGGTGAGGATGATGGACCGTCGCAGCCTGTGATCGACCCGACCTCCCTTGACGAACTCCGCGAAGTCGTACTGGGTGATGCTCGGGGCGACGTTCCGTCTTCCGTAGACAGCGAAGTTGGCACCCCAGGGCAGGCTAATGTTGAACCTGATGAATGCCGGCTGCTTATTCCGGAATTCCGAGTTCCAGAACTGGGACGGTGGAACTGTGAAGGAATGGGGCACGCCGAACTTGGGGATCTCTACGGTCGAGGCCGCCTGCGGCAGAGCGGACTCGCTTTGATGCTGAATCGAGACTTCTTGTTGATCAGTCGACACCGGCTGACTCGGCGATGGGCCGCTGTAATGAACTGCTGTGCTCGTTGGCAACGATTCTGAAAAAAAGATTTTTTTTATTACTTTCTGCTACTTATTAAATTAGCATACATTCTACAAAGAAAAATTCAAGTTGCTGAGAGAATAAAGTAATAAAGAAACTTAGTTTTCCTTGGAAGATGTAAGAAAATCATACTCGACTATACTTCCGTTTAAAGTAAAAAAATTGAAATTTTCTCCTGGTTTTGCATTCGTGCAAAAATCATGAGAAATCGTTGATCAACCTTTATAAGACTTAGACCGTTTTAATGGACAGTTCAATTCATAACCGAATTTCCTCGGAATGTAAGTACGAAATTTCCAAGTGCTCCATGTATTTTCGATCCGGGTAGAGAGGAACTTTGGGCTCCTGTACGTTGCAGGGCGAGAAAAGTAAAACGTGTTTTAGCTGTCAGTGAAGGCAGTTAGAGTTGAAGGGCGGGGCGGGCGGTGCAGCCCTTGAGGCCTTCTGAAAAGGAAGCAACTAGTAAAAAGGGGGAGAAGAATCAAAGTGGTAAGAAGCCCCCGATCAATAGCTAGACCGCTATTAGAACTCTTTATAAACGGGTTTAAACATTTTTTTTAATGCCTGACCGACAAAGATTTTACTGGATCGTCACATTTTATTATGAAAAGTTGGTGAATTTTTAAAATTAGTCGACAAGTGTAGTGGGATTTGATTGTAAACGTTCTTCACGACAGTATAATGAAATTTTCAGGATTATACAACACATGGAAATATTGTAGAAAATCTAATTATTTTCCATTTTCTTGAATAAACAATAAAATATGACTGTCGTGTTTACTTTGAACGGACGAAGCCATGACGCTGGCCGAGTGCAAACATGATAATAGGCAGACCCGGAGATTATTATTTAATGAACAAACAGACAACAAAATGTGATGCCAATTGAATTAAATCATATTGTCAGCGATGAAGGGAGAAAGTATTTCTAGTCCGATGAAACTCACCTTTCGAGATAATGAAATATACAGTTTTCGATCTGCACGGAGTGCACACGATAAAATATTTTATGACGATCGTATAATTTAAAAAAAAAAAAAAAAACAGTCTTCAATATATCCTTTACATTTGGATTTTATTATTTTGGAAAAATGTAACCTTATTTGTTTTTATTAAAATGAAAAATTTCTCGGCCTGGTTACAATAATATTTTGATTTTACAATCACTTAGAAAATCCCATTGTTAATAAATAAATAACCAAGAGGATATAGAAATAATTTATCATTTGGGATTAAGTCCCTCCCTTTTTATTAAAAAAAATTCTTTAAAGTTTCTTTCTTTCATAGCTCCTGGTTTTAAAAGCGATAAAAAAACCTGCAAAGAACTGTTGTTTAAGACTGCAAGTTTGAATAAAATGACTCATTCTTTGGAATATTAAAATTTTAAATTAAAAATTTATGCCTTGCGCTTTGAAACAAAATATGCTTTTTAAGTAAAACTTTCAAATTGATTACAATGTTTATGCATAACAATTATTAAAGCGTTGTAACATTGGTTGAAGCATGACAATAAAATTGGTTTGTGGGATTTCTTCATGGGGGTCAGACCAAGCACTGAAGCGTACAAACAGCAAATAAATAGTTTCAGTTTAAATTAATATTTATTACAAACTGGCAATTGTTTCTTTTATATCAAAAAGTACGATCTTAGGTAGATTGATTTTTTTGAGTTTCCAAAATTTCAGATTTCTAAAATTGATTTCGCATTTCCGCAATTACCCGGCCTTTATGTAACATTGTACATTTTTGGTGTAGTCGTTTTTTTTGTCAAACGAGTGTTTTTTTATGTCCCGCTTGTGACACTAATTTTTCAACTAAACCGTGTAATTAAAGCAATTAGTAATTACTAATACTAATTGGACCAATTAAAAACCTATAGTAGATAACTTGTTTTTATGTTGATTAGGCGAATCCAAGAACGGGAAACATCAGTCTGACCAGCTCGTGGTAAAAAGGAAAAAGAGGCGTTTATTGGCTTTCGACAGTCTGAGTGGAACAGGAGGAAAAGCTTTCATGTAGCAGATATGTCCTGGTGGACCAAGTCCTCCTACATGTGAGTAATAAAGTCAAATTTACGACCATTCCTTGAAAAATAGTGAAAATTGCAACAGTTGATTTATTATCTGCCAACGATTGCTAAAATTTCAATTGCCCATCGCTTTAATCAATATTCGATATTGAATCTATTCCCCAGAAGGAGTAGAGAGCAATCTCTTCAGCGTACAGAGGCATATTGACATTCCGTGCCCAAGGGATGAAATTAAAATATCAGGAACAGAACAGGCCCGTCAGTCTCTTGAATATCAACAGCTATGTCAACAGTCTACCAGACTGCTGACTATTCTGTTGTACCACATAATAGGGGTATTCACGATGTTTGTAAGATGTTAAATCGTGTTAACTCGAATAGACAAACGTCCAGTAAGATCGTGAACGCCTCATTGTTCTCTTAGCATGTTAAACGTTAATTTTTCCGCAATGCTGCGTGTAGCGACAGGTAGAAAGATAGACCAAAAATAAAGCTATAACAGTCCTTGAAGGCTTGTTGCTGTTTGTTTTGGTTATCTTTTGTGTTAAATTGTAAGATGCCAGAAGTTAAAAAAAAGGAAAATTAACCAACTTTTTCAATCAAAATGCTATCTATACACACGAAAAGTACTAACAAATGACACGCTTCAATTCGAGCCGACATACCCAACGTGTATTCTAATGTCTAACAGCCTACAAATTTATAGGATAGGGGATGTATCTATTATGAATGACAGGTCAGGAATGAACAAAAGAAATTTTGTTGAAGAAAGATTTAATTAAGGCGTATTTACAAATAAAAAAATGTGTAAACAAAAAACAGCTGTTAAATTCATGGCTGCCATGTTGGTTACCTACAACCTAACGGATAGCAATGTGACTACATTTTCGACCTAACATCTAACATTGTCCCTGGCCTGTTAGAACAATGTTAACTACCCGATTCTTACAAATCTACATCATTTTTCTCGATCTAACACGACCTAACAGAGTTAATATCGTGAATACCCATAATGTCGAAAGTGGTATTTATGTTTACCAACTACCAACTCCAAATGTGTTTACATTCTAGATCCTTCAAAAGCGTAGCCTTATCTGATAAGAAAATGTTAAAATAAATGGCAGTTAAAGCAGACTATATATTTTCTTGGTCAAATTGTTTTATATTTCTTTCTTTAAACTTTAAATTTAGCCTTGGTACAGTTCTCTCCTTTTTGAGAGCTTTATTTTTCGGAAAGACATCGAATTAGAAACAAGGCGCCTCTGGCACTTTCTCCATCGGTTTGAGGGCGTCTGGAAAATCAACTCAAAAGGATGTGTCTGTATATAATTAAACGGTTAATGCCGCCCGTCCTTGGGCATGGAAAAGAGAGGGATTTCATTTCCGCCTAATCCTCCCGCGGTCTCTCAACTTTCCCGGGGCGTCTTTTCAGGTTAATTAAGGGGGTCGGTTTAGGGGATGGAAAATAGCGAAAGGGCGAAGGGGGTGTAAAGGAGGTCCCGTCCCCGCTTTTCAAAATCCGATACAGCACCGCCAAACTCAATTAATTAAACGTTTGATGTCTGGCCCGCCAGGAATTCGAAAACCCCCGCCCATTGGGAATATAATAAACTCCTTTTTAGTTAGAAGCTTGGGTAGAAGCGACGTGTCACATCGCGATGAATCGATGAAAATTCGTTCCGACACGATCCTATGTTTTCTGATGAGCTCCAAAGGCAATTAAATACCAGCTGAGATATTCTAATTTTCAAGGGTGGTAGTGTTAAAAGAGTGTCCTTTCCTCGAACCTTTTAAACTTGTAATTTAAGACTACACTCCCCGAAATTCTTTTTCCTATTTGTGTTTGAACAGAGAGAATTGCAAAGGGTGGCAATTAACGTCATCGGCGTCTAATTTTAAATTAAACATCAAGTGATTTTAACTCTGGTGCAAAAGTGTGCTTAATTAAAAATACAACCCTTTCATTATTTTTCTTTAATGTATGATAAAAGAAAAGCTGCCGGTCAAAAATGAGTCAATTTAACATTCTTTTGTTTTGCGACCTGTCGAAACGTTTTTTCAATTTGTAAAATTGAAGATGGTTAATATTGAAAACGTGAAAAAATCAACAATTCCAGAAGAAATTGGAAGATTACCAGGGTTCAGTTTTATTATTGATTAAATGTATTTTTTAATTATTTGTGTTTATATTTGTCCATAAAATACACATTAGGCAAAATGAAAGAAAACAAGTTCATAAATCGAAACAGGGTGACTCCCAGCTATCCAATAGTAGGGCTCTCTTTGAGAAATATTAAACGACATTAATATTTGATGAAAAAATCTATAACGTAAATAATAATGAAAATTTAACAATAAACACGTTTATGTGCCTATATTTGTTGCCTATACACTTAAAGTTCATTATGATATTTTTTTAAACGCCAGGTTGACAGTTGTATCGCTGCCAGCTGACTTCAGACTTGTTTCTCTAAGCATTTCAATTCAAGAGCACACATTTTCCTATCGGCACCTTATAAAGGTTTTGAAACAGTCCATACATCCAAGAACTATGGAGGTAGTTTATAAAGTACGAGGAAGCATTTGCGTTTTCCAGAAAAATTTATTCCACAAGTTTACATTTTAATAATTTAAGAAAGACATATGCTGTTCCTCAGGTTCGACAAACAAAATAATAAAGAGTCAATGATTATTATATCCGTTATTGTTCGTGGTCCGATTGACCAATTAACTTTTTCAATTAATTAATCTTTATGTAAGGTATTGGTTGAGATAAAAAATCAGTATCACGAGCGGGATTCTAACCAACGACCTTCGGCTAAATACGCCGCTGCTCTACCACTTGAGCTACCGAGACTTCGATCCACTCGACACTAACTTCCCACCTCAACCGCACCTTTTGAATTTTCCCTCCTCTTTATCATTTTTCAAATGTCGTGTAAACCGTTTGATTCTCGGCGACAAAT